TATTTGCATATAATTTGTAAACAACAGTATTTTTTCGTTGTGGACATATGTGATTATACATGATCGTATATGGGCAAATTTTATGTACGATCCTTTTCTTTCCCGGGTCGGAAAGTCCGTGTCAGAAATCGAACGCTTCGTTCTCGTGCCGCTGATTAATGATCGTTTCTGCGCTCTCGATCAGATCACGCGGCACTTGTCTAAATAAATTAGTCGCTTGTGTAAATATCATCGCCCGATGAGAAATCCTCGTATACGAGTCTCTTAATCGTGTATATATTTTTCAGAAATCATTCGGCAGTGATTCTCGCAATCTCGTGAAAGTCAAAGGAGGATGCGACTTACCGACAGTCTCGATGCGTGAATAAGATTTAGTGGCTACACTTACCTGGAACAAAAAGAGAACAAGAAGATACATTAGTCTCAGCTGATTATTATATATGCAAGCATTCGCACGTTTCTTACACTTTGTACTGATATCTTTTGTACACACAGAGAAAAAGATTTCTTTAGATTTAGTACTTCTATTTATTTGATTAAAATCGTTATTCGCAAGACACACATATACGAAATATTATTTGTTTCGGTAAAAATGTTACTGTCTCATTCAAGAAAACTCTATTATTTAACAGAAAGAACGCTATATTCGAAATAATATCTTTCGACCAAATAAAATATTATTCGGTTACGATAAATATGTAGAATGAAACAAATAATTTCTTTATAAGAAAATTATCTTTCGTTTCAGGCAAATTTCTTATTTAAGATAAAGATACATATCCGTTGTAAACAATCGTGCTATATTAACTGACAACCGTGCTATATTAATCGAAACATTTATTTCTTTGGATGCAATAGAATTGATTAAATTTGAAGAAATCTTTTTCTCATTGTACGTTAATTCGTTGTATCTGATCCCCATGCATAATAAGCGAGATAGTGTCTAATCATTTCTATCGACGGTTCACTCGGGGTGGACGGAAGCGGCGAAATTTCGTGGAAATTTGAAGAAGTCAATCGAAGTTCTCGTCGAAGACGACGTACGCACGATTACGCCTCCGTTTCACCGTGTGATCTTTCAGGCGAGAGCGGGGTTCAAGTGCGGGCTAAAAAGCACTCCTTCGGCGAGGAGGTGAAGGCGGTCCGCGGGGCAGCGCGATATGTCGCAATGCGTCTTGACGTCACCGACGCTGCTGGTGGGATTCGGGGGTTGGTGAGCGGGAGGTGGGGAGGCGACCCCCACGAGGGGCGTATAGGTGCACGTGCATATCGCCACGACGAGTCACTGCGACGAGCCATCTGTCGGCCGTCGCAACAAAGTGCACGGAAAGCGCATCCAGCACTGGTAATTCAACCCCCTTGCCGCGAGACGCACAATCGAGACGATTGAATCGGTCATTCGTCCTTTAAAACTAATTGCTTCATGCCGATTGAGCGATCGAGTCGTCTCTCGGAGACTCGTTTGAAGAGCACCCGCTATTCGAAGAAGCCGTCGATAATCGGGAAATCGAACGAGAACGCCAGCGCACTGAGAAAGAGATTCCTTCAAATTTAATCAATTTTATCGCATTCAAAGAAACTTTATTATTAGCATACTTCTAAGAAACTAACGTTTCGATTAGATCGAGCGAAACCTTCTTCTCTGCGCGCTGAGGAAACAATTTTCGAGTATTCGTAACTGCGTTGGGAGAAAGCAAAAATATGCTCAAGGGAATATTTTCGCTAAGAAATGCTGGAATCGGCGCAATTGGTCAATTCCATTGAATCAATCATCGATTAGATCAATCGGAGATTGATGGAAGTCACCCTTGTAATGCCGGTGATAATAATTTCATATACATATTCCTGCCATTATTTTTCGGGTCGCAACCAGAAGGAAACATAGTTGAAGCCTGAAATAATGTTATTGGAATTTCTCTCAATGCGATAAAAGTTTCTTTCTTTCTTCATTCGAACGTCCCTAAATTCAGATCGAAAATAAATTTCTACCCGACGTCGTCGGGGGTGAATCCGTCGACCGGATGAAATCCGGCTAATATCTTCACCTTCCTTCTGGTTTACACTCGAATAATCACAAGGGAGAAGAAATTCGATTTCTCCCCTCTATACGCGCGGGACGCCGCCACTCATAATAAATCATCAGGAGCCGGCGGTACGCATCCTAGCCAGCCGGCGGCAGGTTAATCCCGGCGGGCTAATTTGATACATACTTCGTTAATCCCGTCTTAATATTCATGTGAAACCGGCGCGCAAGGAGGATCGAAAGAAGGACGGATCGATCGGAATGAATTATTACCCCGCCCCGTATCGGTGGTGGAAGAGGGGGGGGGAGGGTTATCCGAGACGTTATCCCGCGAAATTACGGGCGCAAAGTTCGCAAGGATAATGGCGTGCAGCCTCGGGAAGGATCGATGATCCTGCTCGTTTGGAAACTTCCGCGAATGCCAGCGCTTAACGAGAATTCAAAAGGGTTGAGGGTCGCCCTCGTCGTCGTCGCGACCGTAAAGGACGATGCTATTTCGGTCCTGTCCTTTCCGCTCGCCGTGAACAACGACGACGATGAGGACGACGAGGCCGAGGCTTTTCCAACTTCGTCCTACGTCCTATGCGAGGATTATCGCGCACAAGTCGTGCGATACGAAAACGGTGCATAATTAATTACCGGTTCTTGTTGCGAGATCCAGAAACAACGACGACGAGACTCCCTTTCAAGCGACGGTCAAAAAGCAAGAGCTACCGTATTACGACGAAGTTGAACTTCTCACCCCCTCCCCCCTCCTCTCTCTATCTCTCTCCGTCCGTACGTAACTATCTCACCGGTGCACAGCATGAATATATCGCATCAATACGCACACGGATAATGCAGTTTGGCGAAAAACAAATAATTTACCAAACACACGTGAGGAACGAGAGGCCGTTCATTTCGAGCAGCAACGAGTAGATGGCTCCACCCGTGCCTCGCGACGAGGGTGCAACACGTGCGAGCGGTGGTGGTGGTGGTTCTATCGATAGGTCTGGCCGATTATCTCCCGGTCGAAAGTGAAGCTTTCGGCGAAAGCTCTAGGCAAGCGTGCGTCCGAACGTCCGGTAAGCCGCGTGGACAAGTATTCATAGGCTGACATAAGCGACCGCGAAGCTTGCTGGAAGTTAATTGTGGCACGCTTAAAGCCCGTGCGGGAGAAACGGACGCAAATCTACACGAAGCTTTCTGCGACGGTCAGCATTAGGCAGCGGCAGAGTGAAAATATCGGCTCCCGCTTCCGGTTTTCTGCACAGTGAAAGTACCGATGCCGTTTAAATTGCGGGTTTTTTTCGGTTTCGGTTTTTTAAACCTTGTTTCCTTTGTATATATTTGTATATATATGTTAATATACGTAATTAATATATGTATATACGTAAATTCTGACGTGATGTGCGAATTTAAAGGTCGGAAAATTCGTTTTCAGCATCGAAAGATCTGTAAGAATCCGGTCTACTTCGAAGGACAGGACTTTTATTTCGTGTTCCTGTGTAAGTCGACTTATTGGCGCGCCAATATATATCGTTATAAGCGCGTCAGAATATAGGCCATATAACATATCCTTTTGGCGTGAAAACCGAAATATTTCCACTGGAGGAAGCGTTCGCGAAGCGGACAATCGTACGTATCGAAGTGGACGTTACGGGAAACACGCAGGAAGCAATTTCAATTGATGAACATCCCGCTGCAGCGAGCCGTAATCTGCTTCCTGCCAACTTACCGGGGACTTCCACCGGTCGTTTTTCCATCTCGACTGCGCCACTGAAGAGTGAAATCTCGGCCCCCGCAGAATGTCGAGTTTTTTTCTCAATATCACATTCACAGTGGGCGTCCGGCGAAATCGATAACAATTCCAATTTCCCGAAATTTTGTCTCACCAATCTCGTTTCCCTCCTACAACGCGGCCATTTCGCATGTGTTTCCACTCACGCGCGCGCACGCGAATAATTATTATATCTCCGTGCTGCTCACTGATTTTTATCGGGTCTCCTGTACATTCCGTGATTCTCGATCGATCGTATCCGCGGACACGGAAGCGCGAGACCCGAAAGCTCTCGCGCGGAAAGAAGGAAGGAGCCTGAGGAATGCGCGTCGAAAGCGGCGCTCGGAGAGAGCGATAGCGATCGGCCATGTGAACCTCGCAAGCGGTGTACAAGCAACAACCTTTACACCCCCCCCCCCCCC